CACCACCACCACCACCACCACCACCACCACCACCACCACCACCACCACCACCACCACCACCATCATTATTATTATTATTATACGTGTTTTTCCTTTATTGTATTTTAATATGTGACATTAATTAAGTTGTCATGGTACCATAGCAAATGGAAAAATAAACGGCCATTCGTCAGTGTTGAATGTAAGTGGCAGGACTTACTCCATTCACAGTTGCCCTTTTGATAGGCTGCCGTAGAAGCTCCGCACACCTCTTGAACGGGAATGGAACCCCAGCCAGCTGGCCACACAAAGAGACCACTGAGCAGGAGAAGATCTATAACAAAAACGGGTCAAATCATTTTAAAGTATACACTGTTTCAGATAGTTTTAGACCAAACTACTTAAATAACAATCGGCCTCATTTGCGGTCCAAGTAACAAAAATGAACACCTTATGTTAATAAAGTACTTTCCATTGAATAACTGACAACTGCACAGGACAGTGTTCCAAAACAAATGGAAAGCAAAGGGATAGAGCAGGATGCCAGGTGACCTTAGTCTGACCTTTAGTCGGGTTCTGCTGGCTGAGCACATGTGAAGGGGTATTGTGGAGGGCCAGATCTCTGTACCCTATGTCGGGGCCCAGTGGGGGAACCTGAGCATCTGTGGCCTTCTGTTTTTGTTTGTGCAGGACTACTTACTTCATTTTTTAAGCGGTTGAATTGTGGATTGTGGAGTTTGCAAGCAACAGCGACATCCCACTAGACCAGACTTCATTACAACAGAATAGTGCTCGGCCAATTTCGCGTTTCCTGGTGAAATTTGACAGGTGATTTTTAGATGCATTCACTTCCAGTTTGACTTCGAAGTGTGCCTTTCCTTCTTAACAGCATTTCAAACGCACTCACACGAAGATAGCTCCTGACAGACACTTTGATATGATCCCCACAACATCATTTCAAAAAAAAACACTTTGCTTTCTTAGGTCCAACATCTCACTCACCCTTGGCAAATACAGGGTGGCAGGACTAGTCAGCACTCCACCAAAAAACCTTGGCGGTAAGACCGCCCATTGAAGGCCTAGTAAATTCCCCGATCTCATTTTACTGAAATTTTTTTGCACTTTCGTTCCTCCAACTATTATTTTGGGAACTGCGTTTCAGTGACTCAGCCCTCAGTGCTAGAAAAGACATCTGTAAGAAGCTTTTCGATTTCGGTAATTGTTTTGAAAAATATTCAGCGACATACAATTTATCTCCACCCTGATTTTTCACGTAGGCAAAGTTTATTGCATCAATTCCAGGTTTTGCTACTGGACTATCGTAAAAGTGAAATTTCATGCATTTTATATCCTGTACTTCGATCAGCATCACGTTTCGATCGATTCGCAGTCGAGTCAAAGGGTGCACGGGAAAGGCGAGTTCTATTCCAACGGACATGATACTTGGGCGCTCTCTATGCTAGAATTGCGCATTACTAACCAGTTTTGCAATTGTATTGTGGGGAATACAGGAAATTTCCGATGCCCGAATGGTCAACTCAGCCTACACTACTAATCTCAAAAGTTGTTTAAAGCACTTCAGTCAGATGGCATCAAGGAATAAGGATAAACAAAGGCATTTTTACTTACACAGGACTGACGCCAGGAGTTTGTTGTAGATGCACGATAAGTCGATAAAAATAAACAGAGGAGTGCGCAAGTGTCATAAATTTTGGACTTAAAATTCGCAATACATGGCTAGAATAAAGTCAACCGGAATTTGTGTGGTGTTTGGTAGCAGTTTCGAGTTAGTTTTAGCTGGGAATGGATTAATATAAAAGTATTGTGTTTAATCACTTAAGAAGTGATTAGTAGACACATTAGATAACAATAATCATTACACACATCGGTGATTTTTCAACGGACGACATGACATGATAATTGGCGAATTGTTTAAAAGCACAAAGCCAAGTTGAGGCGTCATGGCTAGCAGTTTTGCATAACATGGACTGTGAGAAACGAATAAAATTCCTGTTTACCTGGAGCATTCAGAACCCGGAGAGTAGTTTGGGGCCGATATCGTACAAGCATGTTGGGGATGCAGGATTCCCTCAGATTGCTCATCGCCAGTTTTTTGTCATTATTTACATTAATTCCCTGACATTTGTTTTGCTACACTTTTTATCAGCTCAAGGTCAATCTTGCCTTGAATTAGGGTACACTTTTGACAACTTACTCCCACCTGGCTGACGCGATTAAAGCTCCCTACACGATGTCGGTTCTAGTGTCAACAAGGGATCTGGTACCGTTAGTTGAGTGGTTTTCTCCTTGTTGCAGGCAAAAGTGACAAAGCTATACTTTTAAACTAAATTTTGACGCCCAGATTTTAAATGTAATTATCATAAAACAACATGCCATGTTCAACTCAAAAGCCAAAGGGACTGGGATTTGATGTGATAGATTAAAGTAATGGGTTGCGTGGCCACACACACTGCGCCTGTGGATCGCTTTTACCCAAAATTTGCTCAACAAAATTTTGTTTATAAATTGCTCCTGATCCGACACACTCGGTGTTCGATGAACCACATACCAGCTGCCGATTTGAAGGTTACAGCTAAAGGAGCATTCATAGCAAGCTCCACTTATCTGCATGCAACGAAACTTCCAGACTTTGCACGTCTAACATGTTTATTTAACTTGAAGCAACCTAATCTACTTAAATTGACGCTGAATAGATAGCCCCTTGTAAATTCATTGATATTTTTCTCAAAAGTCGGGCATGAAAAAATAGTGAGGCAAAATCTGCTGGACTAAGACGTCTGAGAAGAATTGTGGTTATTGAATGAGTTGGACAAACGTTGCGTCCAATCATTGTGCACCCAAGGATCATAGATTGATGCTCAAACAAAGGCTCAATTGATCACGCAGGTCGGGTTAAACCCACATATTAAGTTAAATTTAGCATTTGCGACATTCTCAGAGGTCATTCTCGCACCATCTATCTAACTATCATTTGCTATTTTTTGCTCACAGTAATTATTCATTGTGCTGAAGTCAAAAAAACTAATTTTGGTCTTAAAATGCTTCAATCGTGAATTTATGGCAGTGTTCTATACGTCAAGTATCATGCACCGATTCCTCTGTTTTTAAGTTATTATAACTTATTCAGTTTCAATACTCTGGCCGAAATAGCTAAGTTCAGATCCATACAATCGAACAAGTCGTGGAAATCACGGTGCTGAGGGAATTTTTCTCCAAGGTAAGATCTTTAATGACAGAATTTTGGCTAATTTATAATATATTCGAAAACGGGAAATAACCGCGTCGATTAACCTTCACTGTAATTATCGTAAATTAATTTTTATTGATCTTGAAAATTACTTCCCATTAACGTACGCAGGTGTTCGGTGTGTTCCAGTGCTACATGTTAGCATTGCTAAAGGCCCACTATCTCTAGTAATAGATAAGCGTACAAAGACTTAAAAATATGCTCGGGGTTTATAGAATTAAGTTTGCCATAAACTTAGGTACAGGGAAGCTACTCAGCAACGCAAATCTTTGTAGGGACTTTTAGGTACTTGCATACAACTCTTAAACAACGTTTGCACATTTTTTAATCTATCATAGCTTGCTTCCGGAGTATAGCGCTATCGGCAATACCACAGTCGTCAGGTCTGACGAAATAATCGATCCGTCCCATTGGCCAATTCAACTCACCTAGAGAACGGAAACTGGGAGAAATTTATGGCAATTTTAAAACAATGCAACTCTTTCCCGCATGGGCTTCGGTCTGTGCAGCAATCATCAGATTCAAACTACAGGTGAGTAGCCAGATGAACGTGGTCTCTCTGTAGTCGGTTTTGTGGGCTGGCAGTGGCTCGATTCTCGGCAAAATACCTTATGGTTCCGGCCTTACTAAACACCGATTTAATGCGCTCCGGCACATCTAAATCCCATTAATACTTAATTAATCAAAAGCATTATACCGGTTAAAGAATTTGGGTAATGCATAAGAAGCAGATCGTTATCACGAAGTTTCTATTTTAGCAGAATTGACGCATGAAATTAAAAGTGCTATAAGACTAAAACTGTTGTTTCTATTCAGACTTACCGGCGGCACATTGTGACAAGCCTGTCAACTGAAATATGCTTCGACCGCACAATTCCCGCTTGCAAACAGAGGTACACATCAGAGTATGTGCGAACAACAAAGTGACCAAGCCCCCAAGCATAAGGAAAGTGCCAATCCATAGGGCAGCATTAGAGGAAGCGGGGTTCTGGCCACCTCCCCACAGGGAAAGGCGACAGTAAATGCGTGCCTGGTAGTGCATAAGCCAAGGTAATGACCGAGTAGGGGTATGGCCTGGACAGGGGGTTTCACAGCGAAAAAATGGACCAAGTGATGGCGACATGTATTGGTGTTGGTCTGCTAAGTGGAGACGCGAGGGGGAGACAGTCTGACAATTTGCCTCCCAAAAGGAGCTGCCGCTCTCCACACGTCGGAGCCACCCGCTGGTAAAGAGACTTGCCAAAATAAGGACCAAGGAAGAAGTGGAGAATATCATCCATACGAGCGAAATGGCGCTAACCACTACCCGTTTCATGGGGGAACTTGGATTGTTTGTTCGCTTTCGTGGCGAATATTGGCAAAGTATGTGACCAAACGCACGCGAATAGATGCAGAAATGTGATTGGCTTGCTGGGTATCCAGTCCTTTTGCACGGTTCGTTGACCACTTTAAACCCTAACTAAACATTTAGTCTGTTAATGTGATTTATGTGTTACGAAGTTGCTAATTCTTTCCAGAAGGTGGGTTTTAAACTGACGAAACTGTTGTTACCTTTGGGAATCTGTGACTACAATGTGGCATAAATCGGTATATGAATAAATTTGACCGTTCAAGGAGGAAGGATGCAATTTTTACCATGCTAAATTTGCTAACAGTATTGCCAGTGTGTTCTGCCTTTTGGTGTAGCATACGCACCGCACTTCATTATTAGCGTGGAGATAGAATAGTCAAGGCTAGGAGCCTACACTACTGGATTTCTAGCTCAAATTAAGCCAGATAGTCGGGTTCGACGCTGGCTGAAGTGGGCAAGATAAAAACTCAAGCAAATCTTAATGTGGTGAAGCTTCGTACAATGGCGTGCTTCATTAGCCCGCACTTCAACGTTGCTGCTCTTGCACCCACCCAAGCACAATGGCGCTGTGTCAACAAGACCACGGGTTAAGACGAATTTGTTAGCGACACCTATAAGCCTAAATTCGGCTCGAATTAGGACAACAGAAGACGCGAACGCTAGACTAAAGTCAAGTGGATATTGAAGTGTTTACCCCATCCAGCAGCGTAACAGCATTTATTGTAGATCATGGTCTTACCTGTGTTTAATCTTTAACCAGAGTCTGCCTTTGTGGCAAGGTCTGTAACATTGCGAAAACTTGTTTCAAAAGTATCTTTGCAATTAAGGAAGATTTAACCGGAGCATTCAAAGTTATGGAAGGGAAGAATGCAAGCTTAGGTTGAATTGAAATCGGCTTCCAGGATCTAGACATATTTTAGAGTTATTTTGAACTCAATATTGAGACAAAGCTCATCCAAATCGAAACCCTACTAGTTTTTATCAATGGAAATACACAGGGATTTAAATATAACCTCCCGAGAGTGGCGCAACCAAGGGAAAAGGTTCACTTTAATGGTTTGGGCCAGGCTTACTGAAAAAAAAAACATTTGTTCTATTACTGCTTTCCGAAGACACTAACGCGTTTCATACAGAAAGTAATTTACACACCGACTGCTTCTCTTATGTTAACTTCGCTGTGCAAAAGAAGCACATGCCCGTGGTGGAATGTCTCGACCTTGTGTTACGGTTGGCCGGAAATAAACACGCCTGTGACGGCCGTGCAAGAAAGGCATTCAAAACACACTTCGCTATGTTGAAAAAGTGAATCATCACGAGTTTCAAGTTGCCGAGCCATAGTCAACACGAGAACGAGACATGACCAGCCAATAAGGACACGAGAACAATGCACCGCCCAAACTCCCACTTTGACGAATTTGTGACTTCTGTAAACTTTGTAATGTCCTCCACGGAAGTTTTAGGGGCACCTTCCTGGAGGCGATTCTGATCCATTAGAGCTATCAAGAGAATTTTCCAGTCCGAATTTTCCATTTCTATTGATTACATGTCTACACTAACTGCCATCAACTTAACAACAATAAAACTATCTACGGTGTAGGAAATGAAATATGAAATGAAAATAACTGGAACGGTGAGTTTTGGAAATGAATCCTACTTTGGAAATATGGCTGTGGACTTAATTGTCAATGATTTAATGACGGTTAAATGGGCATCGAGTGGGCTAGCCAAACTGCACGTAGCGGTTCAAAATTCCCCTACGATCTGTTAGGGCCCTGGGGCTGGCAATGCGGCACAGCCCGGGCTGATCGTGAGGCTCGTGCGGGATGCTGTAAATAATCACAAGACAAACCGACGCGGCTTTTTGTGCACCTCCTTTTCCCAAAACATCTACATTCTCTCTACCTGGTGCCTACTTAAGCCTTTTAGTAGACTTAATGTTAGTGCAAGACATGAAGTGAACGGGTGCAAGCTTACAACAATAGGCTGTTAAATTGTGGTAGGTGATGAAGATTTGAGGAGGAAGAAGATAAAGGTACCAACGGTTAGCTCGGTGGTTCTACGTCATCTTCATGCTCTGAATTTCTTAAATACGAACATAATTCTACCCCTTAGCGGCATTTTTCTAAATTTGTTGGCATGAAAGACTTCGCCATGAATTAGGATTGCTGTTGTTCTCGGCAGAGCAACGAGGTTTTCGCTGTGCTAATTCGCGAAATTTTGTACGAAAACGTGGCCAACTAGAGAGCAAATTAAGAAGCGTCTGTTCTATCAATTTTGCATCTTCATTGCTCAAGTCCAAACTGTACCACGAGAACCGTCGCTCATCGTGCTGCAAATTAAGGTCAAGATGTTTATGTGCAATTTTTTTGCATATTTGGCATTCCAGAGTAGACAATAATGACTTTAAGCATAGCGCTAAGCAAAGCACACCGTCGGATGCTGGAGTTGACAGCTCCTTCCGAACCACATTTTTAACGTTTTTTGGGTTAAACAAGAGCCTGAGAGTTTTGCGGCAAAAAGTTAACTACAAAAGGATTCAAGACTTGGAATTTCCACTTTCAAATTGAACAAAACGACAGAACGTTTAACGTTATTAATTGTCGCTAAGTAGCGACCGCACTAAGGCGAATACTCATTCTAAGACCGCTAAAATGGATAAATTAACAACCTTAAATCTAAATTTGAGAGAGCATAATTGCTGGGAATCAGGTTAGTCACCACGGCAACCCATTGGCAGCTCATTTGTGTTAATCCGCATTGATCCATGAGGTCAAGGTTACAGTTGACCTACATAAGTGTTTGCCTTTGGTTGCGATGAGGTCTTGTCTTGCATTAGCGTGTGAGGGTCGGCTCTAGCGTCAGGCAAGGGATCTGGGGTACCGGTTATCTGGGTGCGCGTTGTCATGGCTACGGGCAAGCTCAACAACACCTTTTGCCCGAATTTCGGAAGTTAACGAACCGCACAATCTTTGTGGCCTTTTATTTTTGGCACAAAATTTAGCTTTGAAATCGCATACTTACTGAGTCACTTGTGAGTAAAAAAACCACTGATATGGTTAATCGTATATTTGTGATTAGTAAAACGAAAAGAAATATAACACACACACACACACAGACCAAAACCATAAGTATAAATATACACAGACATTATTGCAGTGGGGAGCTAGTAGCTGCAAAACAACAACAATAAAACTAGGAATAAATGCTCAGGCACACACGAGTTTGAGCCTTCAAGAAGACAAATGCAGTAGGTGTGGACTAAGAAAGTGGATCGGAGGCGGGTCGAGTTGGAAGGGCTGGAATGTGTGACTAGGATGAGGAGGAGGAGGAGGAAGAAGGAGGGGGCAATGTCGCGATGCCCCGGGACGCCTCTGATGTGCTAGCGGAGGGGGGAGGCAAGATGCGAGTGGGAACAGTTCTTTTTCGTCGACTGTGCGGTGGAGCTGCTGTTGGAGTAGGTGACTGGTGAAGCGACGCGGCGGGGAAGCCGTTTCTATCCGTGGCGATTTGAGAATTTACCTGCTTTACACAAGAAGTTGGATTTGAGAGCCTACCTAACCTTCGCTTCTCAAACCAATCGACTACCTAGAATTAGAAAAAGTGGGGAGGCATAGCGATGTGGCGTCTAACGGAAAGTGTAAAAGGGTTCATAACACAGGGCAGATTTGCTCAACAGCGGTAATCGGCACTGATTGCGTGCAATCCAGCCTCGTAAGCCTGTGATTAGTCATTTGCAGCGAGACCGGATGGATGATTTAGTACTTACATCTAACACCGGATATGACGATCCAAGCTAACAATAGCGTCGCAAATGACTGTTTAGATTCGGTGTCCAATCGAATTGAAGTACCATTTTGCAATTGCAGAAAGACATGGGACTACAGAATCCCTTCAGGCCGTATCATGGAGCTAAATATAAACAACAGCCATTCTCCTGTAACAAAAATACAGGCAGTCTCCGGTGTTATCAACCATTCTAGTCGCATTTATGCGCCCTGGACTGCCTAACCCAGGTTATGGACAAGGGTAACTTGCGGCAATGCGACCAGTGAAGATGGGAAAATTAATTACAGCTCTGTTGACAAATGACGAAAACACGCTTTGGTTATTTTCAATTTAAGGTCCATTGGGTAAGCATAGGGCGTCACGAAATGCTCTTAATTCGGCGTCCAGGGCTAGTCCGGATACAAAATTCGTCAGTCTGGTACGCCCTCAATGCCATTTTCACCACACATGATTGATTGATTGATGCATGTTTCACAGACTGAAGGGCCCAAACAAACAACGATGAGCCAAGCACGCGCGGAGCCGCTTTTCACTGCTCAGTGGCGGTCTTGGTGAGCATAAAATGAGGTGTTGCATTGCGTTCGGTGTATGGGAGCTGGCAATGTGAGGTCATTTTTTGAAGGCCGTGGCAGTGATGCACGATAATGCATGAATTGTCTTGGTGGCGAAACATTTTTCCCTTTTTTGTTGGAAAAACAGGAGCACATTTCAGCGTAAAAAAATTTGTGCGACTCACAACCATTTATTTAGCTATCCCAATTACATTAAAGGCTGAATAAACCCATAAAACCTGATTTCCCAGCACGGGTTTTTGTTTCCTTATAAGTGATTTAGGACATAACGTTTCGAATGGACTTTAAGTCGGGCTTGGGCAGTATTTTAAAATGCGGATCAAGTCATAAGTGACGGTGAATGAGCGGATGCAGGCCAGCACCGAGGACGCAGCCTGGGCGCAAGAGTCTTCATAAGTTGACTGCGTAAAAACGAGCCCTGCATCCGAAACCCTCGAACACAGTCAGAAAGGAATCTGACAAATAAACCAAAATAGCACAAAGTAAAAAGGCAGCACGCTCATCGTTAAAATGACCCAGAATATCATCTTTACAGTGAGGCATCCAATCTTTTGTGTGGAGGCAACGTGTGTCCAATCATTCGTGCTGCATTGCAATCAAGCTGAGTAGGCATATTGCGACACAAACTTACATCGCCAAGGGGACAGCCAATTTGCTTCGCAAGTTCACTGAGATCGCTGGTGTCTGGTTGGGGGCATTGGTCGAAGAAGTTGACCAAGACATCCAATTGCTGCTCGTTCAGATGCCTTGTCTCTGTGTCCACGGTGGCCGACGAGCCGCTGTCCGTTCGTTGACGCTTCGCACTGCGTTCTGTACATTTAGTGCCATCACCTTAGATGTGAAAGTGTAAAAATGATTTCTTCTTCCTCAACTTACGGCCTTTACTTCTAATCCACTAAACCTTAAACTACAAAACACAGCTAATTTGCTTTTCTTTTTTGTAAAATGAATATGGAGCTAACCAGGATACAAACGAGCTTTACATGACAGAAAGCTAAAACAGAGTGAAAGCCTTCAACCCCTAAAATATTGTGTGAGTCATTTTACAGATATGCTTTGCTTTTCCACTAAACCCCTTTCCTCAAACATCTCATCGCCTTTTGAAAACATTCACTTCATGCAGCGATTGTCGCACATCAATGGCATTTAGCTGGCGGCTGAGCCGACAACGAGGTCTGCTGGCTCCGGTCTAACCTTGTCTGCGTCACTCAGTAATAAACGCGTGTTCTCAGGTCGTGTGTGCAGTGGGCATCGGCCACACGTGACACTCATCGTCACGCCACATTCAAGATGCTGGCTGTTCTTGAGTGAATAGGTGAGAACATGCGACGGAAGGGATGAAAGGTGAAGTAGATGAGTAGATGAGGAAGGCCTGTTACCGGATAGGCTGGAAAAAGTGTGCTCAAATGCATTACGCTAAACGCGTCGAAGTGAATGATGTGCGGAAATAAGGATCTGCATCAGGCATTATTAATATTTGTTATTATCATGAGGTGGCGTCCATGACAGAGCTCGGAGGACAAGAAGACCAAGGGTGAGGTAGAGGTACGCGTAAGTTCCCTCCCCTTACCCCAAAAAGGGAAATTTTTTTCTACTCTGGTTGTGTAGATAAGGGGCTATGTGCGCACAAAAGTCACGGCGATATTGTGTTGGAGTGTGAAAATTCAGCTTATTTAACCCACGTGTGGTGAATTAATTCCTAGGTGACGACATAGGTCACCAGCAGAGCCAATTCAAATTTCGGGTACAACAATAAAAAGGTTTTTCGAACTTTTAAAGTAAAGCACCACAAGGAATCCCAATTTGTCACAGTAAATTGGGCCAAGTAAAAGGGTTTGATTGGAGTGCATCCGAGCGTTCGTGCTCGAGAACTCACCGTCACCAACACCGGAAGTGAGACGCACAGAATCCACCCAGAGCTTCAACCGGACGTAGGACTCTCTGGGCTTGTTGCCGGATATCTGGTCCCACGGTCGGCACTTGCAGAGGAGGTCAGAGACCGAGGCCTGGCTGAGGCCCAACACCGTGTTGCCGAGAGCGCGCTGCGTCATCGAAGTTGTGTTGAGGAGCTAACGACAAACGCAATTACTGGCCTTACCGATGTCGCGGAAATACGGAAACGAAGGTACAAAAACCTTATGATATATGATGTTGGTTGGTTACAGAAGACTCACTCAACCCCTACTTCGAAACACCAATACACTCAGAAAAAACGAGAGAAGACGTTAATGCAGCATCACAATGCGACGGTAACGAGCTACTGTGGGTAGTTAATCTTAAATCACAGGTTTTGCTTTCCCTGATGTCGCAACGTTGCCATAAAATGTTACCGACACTGTTTTCATTATTTCAAAATCCTACCAACATAATTTACTTGGCAACACGAAGCAGAGTAGCTACAACATCTTGGCCAATTTTTCTGACATCGAAATTTTTAGCTAACACTCTTCGGGCTGAATTTTCGACTTGCAATGATAGTGACGCGACCTCTACGCCAAACGTAAGAGAGTTTGCATGGTCCCGGTATAGCAACTAAGCCTTCGTCGACGGATTCATGGGAAAAGGCCAAATTGCCAACCATCGCCATGATCCAAATTGTCTTACGCTGGCGAAACAATACGCATCTTGGTTGAGCGACACTAGTGGTATCCTGGGTGTTGATGCTCTTTAGGCTCCGCTATGAACTTTAAAAAAATTTAACACCTCAGAACTCGAGTGCGCCTTTTAACTGGTCAGTAACTACCGATTTACAGTTAACTATGGATGCAATGCTTGCTAAAATTTCCAAACTTACAACTAAAAAAAACACCAATACTGAAAAAATCCCTCTTAAGAACTTCTACACCGCCATAATTAAATTCCCGCAACAATAACAACGGCAAAAAATAAGTGTTTTGCCGGAATGAGGCTCAAGTGGGTAGGCGGAAACTTACTACTTTGGCATCCGCAACCGTCTTCATAACGTCGAAGCCATCCTTGAGGAGGCGCTGGCCTTCAGGAGAGCAAATGCTGATTGTCGAACGACTGCCGGACTCTTGGGCAGTCAAGGCGGGCGTGGTGGATGTGGAAGCGACGTCGGTTGCGCTGGGGGTCGAGCCCACCGACCGAGAGGGGCTCGAGACATCCGAACTGAGGTCGCGTGGCGACTTTGGTGAGGCCTCTGACAGTTTCTCCGACTGCTTCGTCGTCGCCGTCGACGAAGCTCCATCCTTCCCCGAAGTGATGTCTACGCGGGGAAAAACGACTGCGGTTAATTTTGGAGTGAATTATAGACATTGTACATCCGAAAAACATGGGCCCTAAAGTCCAACAAAAGAAACAAGACCAGTGCTGCACTGAGGTTTGAAAGGCAACTAATCCACAGCAACTCGTACGTAACGCATTGGCTTTCAAAGTTTAGAAATTTAACCAATTTTTTTAACGTGAAAACGATTGCATCGATTGAGCACATTGCAATAAAAAAACCGGACCTCAGATCACAATTTTGTCTCTTGATTGGAATTGCGATCAGCAATAGACAAAAGTTGCTTACTTAAATCTAAAGCAATGAAGGTCTTGAACAATCGCAGAAAAAATCAAAGTAACGAGTTCAGTATATTACTTTTTCCTTCAGCAATGCATTTAAAATGCTTTTCATCACTTTACTCATCTATCGAATTCCTGTTTATTTTGACCACAGGTAAAGTTCAGTAATTATCAGAATGCCTGCAATAAACAAAACGATGTTATCTTTTAATGAGCAATCTTGGTGGCCCAATTTCGTAAAAAATATGGGCCTTACACGACAGACTACCACCTGACGGATAACACCTACATGACTCGTGTGCAAAATGACACCGAGGCGGTTTAGGAAGCGGCAATTTAATTTTACGACAAAACATTACTCATCGACTGTTCAAACGCCTTGACATACATTTCGCACGAGGACAATGCAACTCGCCTCGTTCAGCACCCAGTAAATCTATTCTGAGCGTAGTTCTGGGATTTTGGACTACCGACCAACTTACCAACCACAAAGATGCAACAGTATTTCCGCCGTGGTAGACACCTTTTGGGATTTACCACGATCATCCTAATATCTTATCATTTTTTTCATATCTTCGGATTAATGTTTGTTGTGGTTTAGAGCACAAAACAACTGCACTACGATTGTTGTGCATTAAGTTATCAATGATGTTAACTAGAAGCCGCTGGGACTCACCAACTCACCGTGGGACGACCGTGCCAATGCTATGGACCAAAAGGAGGCCTTTGTCAAGGGTGAGCTAATGGTATTATCTCAAAAGATAGAGGTCGAGTACAAATGCTCTTCGTGCACTTGGAAAGACATAAAGCACGGAACTACACACCACAAGAATTGGTCCTGAAATCGACAGAAGGGGCGAAGTGGGAAAAACAAGGGAAGAGTTTATAACCAGACTTGATGAAAAAAGAAGCCACACTGTTTAAATCGAACACGGGCACAAAAAGTAAAAAAAGATAGGTGATTTCATCGGTTAGATGCTAAAGTAAGGTGAAGTTTAATAATTACTTTAGTTGAGATGGGTAAAAAAATTGATATTTAGTTGGCAACTGCTGTGAACTGCGAGGAATGTTGATTAAAAACCGTCTCCACGTAAAAGCAGCGTGGGGAGGGATTTAACAATTCAAGCACATTTTTTTGGATCTGCTGCAGCCCCTTCGGCCGATTGTATCTTGCTTCTCGTCGTTTTTTTTACAAAAGTGAAAATTACCTGAAGCCGTTGGTTCTGACCCACTCGAAAATTATAAAAGCAGAAAGAATTAATGGCGTTTTAGATCAATAACTACTTCCGAAATTGTACCCTTTTGAAATCACACACAGCCCGTTTTAAATGTTATCAAATGGTACGACGCTGTATAATTTTACTTAAGAAAATTACTAGTGTCTAGTAAAGCAGAATTGTTTATGGCGAAACGGTGCATAAAAATTAGTAAACTTCAACAACAAACCAAAATACTTCTTTAGTTTCAGGGTTTACGGGATACTTCGTACTGTTTAGTTTTATAGTTGCTACGTAGCGCTAAGCAAATAGGACGGGTGCCAATATTTGAATCTGGGTTTCTAAAAGCTAGTTTTTTTCTAACAAAGTAACACAACCAGTGGATTTCATGAATGTTGCTGTAACTAGAAATCCATTTAGTGAAAATACATTTGCGCAATGAAGAAACTCATTTTAAGCCAATGTAAGAGAGCAGGATTTTTGGTTTGACAGAACCCCGCCAGGTATAAAGAGGTCATGGACCCAGCTACTAAAGAGCACATTTGGATAGTGGTACTCGAAAAAAAGTTCATTAACACAGTAAATCAAACCAAATGGAAATCGTCTTGAGTAAAAAACTGAATGATCAAAGTGGTTGAATTACCTGCAGTTTTGTAGACGAAACAAGGTTCTTGTATTAAAACAATACACGGATTGCATAAACTGACATTTGAAGATGGTTACCAATTTTAATCAGAGTTTTGCAAAGGTTTGGAATTGACGAAGTCAGACTGCATTACATCGCCGTTTTTCGAGTGTTTAAACAGCTTCGAATGCGTGTATGGTCACCACCCCAAGGTAACGGTTAGACACGCGAACAGACCACAGAACACAGTTAAAGTGGAGGAGTAACCATAAAGGAGAGAGGGAGAATTGTAAGCAAAAGGCTTTAGCGTGGCTTACGCAGATATGCTTACAATTGGTTGAGCGGAAAAAATTGTTGCTGTCATCAATCACATAAGTTTCATTGAGGGTGACTAAATGCGCAGCAAAGTGAACCCAGGTTATCTAATTCATTTGCAACACGGACACAAACGATGCTGTCCACTGCCGCGGGCCTGGATAACGGGGTGCATGGTCGAATACTGAGATCGGTAGGCAGTGATACAAGCAAAGCAATCAACATAAAAGGACCACACAACTTCACAACTTCCAGAAGAGGTTGGAAAAACAATCTTGACTAATAACAGAAGGCCTTTCAAGAGGTAAATTGAAACCGATGTAGCTTGAAGTATGTTGCATTGATTGTCATATTTGAGTTACAAAACCAATGACTCTTGTAGACTTTGAAAAGTGTAGCAAAACATGATTTTACTGCGATTCAATAGGATCTGATAATAACACTGACGACGGGCCAGTGGACAAAAGGTTTGCACAATTAGTAGATGCCGAGATCTTGGCAAAACTCAAAGGGGAATAAAGTAGTGCCTTGAAGCGAAAACTCAGTGTCCAGCATTTAATTATGTCTGAACTGAGGGCGATCGTTATTGTTGGTAGGAAAGCAACAGCATGTTCACTAATTATCATAACTTACTATACTCAAAACCATTCAGAGAACGGGGATTTTCAAGGAAGAGTTTCATGCGAATAAACGGTTCCCTGCCTTTGTTTGTTAGCATGGACCAGGGTTTCGGCCTAGTTAAGAGATCGGACACGCTTCCTTGAGAAAGACCTGAAACGGATACGGCAACAGCTAGGAGCTTAATACCACCTAATTCTCGAATGCATTCGACCGAATACTTGGCAAATGCTTGGAATCGCACACTCCAACATGACGGCATAACAATCATTCCTAATGCTAGCTAGACAAGAGGGACCTTAAGTCTTTTCCTTTTCATCAGCTGTTGCTTATGTCAATACCTTAACGAGGGAATCTAATGTGAACGCTAACGTTACCGAGCACATTCTGTCCGAACGACCGCTGGCTGATGGCACACTTGAGCAGCATGTCCTTAGTCTGGCGGGCGATTTCCGAGGTGTCGAGGAGCATCGGACGCCGATATTTGGCCGGAATGGGTGGCAGCTGGGGCAACAGACAGGGCGAGGAGGGCTTGGGTGAGCTCGTTGCCGGCATTCGGACGGCTGAGGTGCTGTCGTCGGCGACGGGAAGAACAGACGGCGGCGGCTCGCACGCCTCTGGAGCACCGGGGTTGGGGTTAAGCAACGGAAGAATGGGCGGGAGTGGAGCAGGCTCGTTCCGACCAATCGATGCACGCCCAACTTTCTGCTGCTTTACATAACAACAGCAATAATTGTGGTAATAATAATAATAATAATGAGGAAATAGACTTTTGTAGGACTTTGGATACGGCAAAGCATTATGAGCCAATCCTTGCAAAAAGATACAACAGAATATTGCAACTTGAAATTAGTGATAGGAAGTAGAGTTGGCTAGACTACTTTGGCCACACTAGAACTATTCAAATTCGGAGGAATATAACTTGGGGAAGAAAGCCAGAATTTCTGTGGTTCCTAAGAGGAAAATCACGTGGACCGCTGAAAAAGCGTAAACACGGTAAATCTGGAATTTCGACAAAATTAGTCCGAGTTCATGACTAGGTGTAAAAAGAGCACAATGAAGTTCGGAAGGTTACGAGTACCGAATGTTCAACTTCAACAGGACCAGCTTTAGATTCAATTTATGTAAAGATGGGAAATACTCAGAAAAAAATTGTCAGGTTCTGCGATCTGCTCTGGGATTATTTGCGACTTGGGGGCTCGCAGGCGCATAAAAAGGTGCAGTCAAGAGCCAATAGTATGTGCAAAGCCAAAATACAGGCAACATGTAAAAAGCAGCCAAACGTTGATGCCTGAAATTGGACGCTGTTACAACACATTTTAGGCGGAGGAATGTGGGTTTTTCTTCACCTCCGTGACACCGATGCACGTTAACTAGGAAATCGGCGAGAGAGCTGCATACTTTCCAATCGAAGATTGCTCCAAGTATCCGGCAGGGCGGAAGAAGGCGACGTGGAGACAAAAAACATCAATGGAGTCCGTCAGTCAAGGGGCTCGAAGCAGCCTGCTCTAATACATGACTTTAACTACACCGCTCGAAGACAATGCATCACCTCAATAACCTCTTGACATTGCAAAAAAATCACTCAAAAGACATGCCACAGTCTGTCTAAACGGCGTCGGACACAACCCACCGCACAAGTTCACGATGTAGACAAATCAACTCAAAATCAGAGTGATGTGTGGAAGAATTTTGGGTAAAATAATTCTATCGACGTGACACTTGCACGTCTTTTGACAACTTCCTCTCCCCCGTGAACAGTGACTCATTGACCCAATCAAGAAACGGGAGCTTTCGCGTTGCAAACGCGTCATCCCACTTTTGCGATGTGCGCACATGTCTCGCCTCCCCCCTCCACCCCCACCCCTCCCCTCTCCAGTGACGTGATGTTGGAATCCCTCGAGGAGCAATCGCTGTTCCCAGGACTCTCGCGACAACAGCTGCCAAGACACATCTTCCACGTGGAAAGTTGAAGCCCATGCGCCTGACAACTGCGTGTGGAAGCTTCGCTGAATCTGCCTGGTTGAAGTAGAGAATTATTGCAGACAGAACAAACCCCTTAACGAGCGGATGGTCCACTGGAAGGATGGGTGGAATGTGATCTGGAGCACAAGGGGCCACGATTGTTACTGACCTTTCATTTAAGAAAACGATAAGATTATCAATCGTGATCAAATGATGTCCGCACAAGGAAGGGCCGGTTACATGTCGTATTCGTAGCTCTGCTCTGGTGAGTTACTACATTATACACAAGCAAAAATTTCAGTACATTTCACACAAAATGAATTCGTTCCTTACATTGTGAAACGAAACAGCGAGTTAGGTGGACTAAAAACCCAAATAATGGCTGGGAAAGCATAATCCGAATGTCCAATTAATGACCAACCTCATTGCAAGCCTGAGGGGGGTTTGGTTCATCCAGTGCACCGGACGTGTGAACCTCCAGGCGTTCCTTCTCTTCCGCGGCCATCTCCAGTCGAGCGTCCATGAGGAGTTTGGCGATTTTGGCCTTGGTTACGGGCGCAAGTCGTTCACTCTCGGCGGGTGCGGAGGCAAGCTTTTCGGTGGTGGCGGCGGCGCCGCTGCTTGCGAAGCGACGGGACCTGCGGACCGCGACCGAGTGCGAGGACGACGCGTGCTGCTTCCTGGCCTCCTCCTGGTGCAGCTTCTCTGCCACCAGCCGACAGGCCAGACGCTTACTCGCCCAAAATCGAGAGCTGTTCAGGACTTGAGAGCGGCGAGCTGTGGAGGAGGGAAAAGGAAGCAATCTTTAGTGACAAAACAATACCTAACGACAATGGGCATTCCCACGAAGTCAAATGCACTTCAACAAAAAACAGTGATTACCTTGAGGTGGAAATGTCTGGTGTTTAAATCAGTGTTTATTTAGGACTTTGGTCGGTTTCACTTTCTAGAAGTTTGTCATGCGTAAAAAAACAATAACATGGGCGTAAACATCACATGGACGCGGCAGCATCCTACTCCCGTAAGCAACTAATCCAAGCATTTTTGATGACCAAACCTACAAATTTCATTCATTCACGTAGGTTAGACGGAAGAGTGAAACTAAATGAGACGAAACTAGAAGCTCTCTGGCACGACTAAACCAGCAACGCGTTGGACACAATGGGACGGAGGTTTGGCCAAACGCAAATCGACATGAACATATGCCATTACGTCAGAGAATTTTGTCAATGAGGGAAAATTGGGGCGTGTGTCAGGTCGGATGTACAGCATATTCCTGTTTCGGTGTTTATGCTGCTTATTCCATCAAGAAATATTAACTAAATTTACAGTCTCGCAACGCCGGGATGAGGGAAAACTAAAAGCAATAACATTGTCGCAAACAAACTCTCTACGGAGCAATTTTAAGTAGCACAATTTACCACGCCCTAGAGGAAAATTTGCCACGGATGTAAAGTGATGACGGGTATGTGGAAAGATGATAACACCGATGAAGACATCAATACGTGTAAAATAATTCTGACAAGCGGTTTCGGACGACTTGTGAAAAGCTCAGTGGTATTAGCGACAGCCTACCAAGAATTGAACAAATTGGAGGGCCACGGCTCTAATGCCAGTTCGAAAAGTTCTAAAAAAATAAAGTCCGAAAACAATGTCGAAAAATAACATGCAGTTGACCTCAGCATTAGCGCTAAAGTGGCAGCGATCGACCAGCCAGAGCAAGCAAAACGGCAGCCACGTGAAAGTGGAAGCAGCAGTAGGAGAGCTAACGGTGGGAGCAGGAGTTAAGTCGACTCTTCGACGTTGCTAACATCGTGGAGGTAAGAGCTTCTTTAGGTCAGGACTGCACTTAATGGCATTTGCATTCGAACCACAACGGCACAAAGCTCAAAGGAATTAGCGGGGTGAATGTCCCGCGCAGGCGACACACGACGGCCGCTGTGATGCAGAAGACGCGCGCGTCTTGAAGGCACGCCAGTGCCACCTTTGCTCACGGTCTCCTGATTTGAATGTAAAGCATCGCACTTCTAGCCTACTTTGTGTATTTACACGATGTAACGAAGGCAAACTTAAATCAACTTACGAGGCAACTTGGCCGAGGGCTTGACGCCATTTCTGACTTTACACGGGTCGGAGTTGGGAACAAACGACTGGTCGCCGTACACTGATGCAAATCGGGCTTCGAGGGAGGTTACCTTCGATTGGACAGATGTCAACTTAACCTTCATTTCGTCCAATGTGAATGATAGCTTTTTAAGCTGTGTAGGGAACGCAAAGAAAAACAATTAGGAAGGATGCGCAACAGCTCTGGGACACGTTTGTGAGGGTGGACTAAATGGGCTACGTTGTATGCAACGCAACAATTGTCGTGTAAAAAGTATTGTTGCAATGATATAATCTCAACGAGATTTCAGTGAATGTGGCATTGCCGGACAAGCAACCCAGCTAACAGACGACAAATGATGGCGGCAATACCTACGTGATTTATGCAGCAGTGTTCCATTAACTATCAAAAACGGTTAATTTACACTATTTCAAAGCTAGCCACAATTCAACACCGATGAACACCTATAAACTTGAAAAATACGGGCATGGTTACTTACAACATCAGAAAATGCGTTCGGCGAAAGCGTAGACATCTCTGTTTGGCTGCTACAATTAGAAGGCGACATAATTTTAGACTGGCTAAAGAAGTCGTGAATGGCGGAAAGACATTAAATTATCGCATTTCAGACACGAGAAACAGACAAGTTTGATAAAATCATGGGGGTTAATGCCCGAATAATGTCATTTTAGAGAAAAATAAATAATTTTTATGAAAAAATGAGTTAAAAAATTGACACGACTTGCAAAACACCACAAAATTAAAACCCATGAAACAGGTTACAATCAGCCTCTCAGCAAAATGAATTTGAAATGCCCTACTAAAATATGAGAGGAAAAACGGTTAAGCTACTGCAGCTTTGACTTTGGTTAACTTTCACATCAAATTACAATTCGTCTTGTCTCTATTGACGGCAATAAAAAGACCAGGTGATTTGGAACCCCCTGAAGAAGAAATTCTGCTAAGCGACTGTTGGGGAGGCCAGCGTTTCCCAAGAATGCCATACCCTGAAGTGAGGTTTTGGTGCTGTTGCGCAACTCCCCAAATCACGCCACTCTACTTGATCACCTCCGTGCCCCCCCCACACCACCGACGTCTCCCATCCCCGTTAAACCTGCCTGATCCAGGGTCAGCAGTTGACACGTCACTTGACCCTCGGTCGAGATAATAAAGCGACTTGCACGATGTCCTGGTTTTGAGTAGGTGGTGACGCATTTTAAAATGAGGCTCGCTTAGTTGCACTCGAGGCTTATGTTTGTTTACCGGCAGCCGTAACAATAAGGGAATAGTTAACAAAATTACGTTGATTTAACAAAAGTTTAGCGCGTTTTAAACTCACTTTCGAAAGAAGACCGAAACGCGAGGACAACCAAATTTTGATTTACCTTACAGCATCGTTTAAAGTGCGAACACTTCAAGAAACAACCATTAAAACGGGTATAGCTGTCTAAATTAAAAAGGGTGACGCTTATGTCATTTAAAACTTTACAGACCTGCTGAAGTAATGTCTAGAAGCCCCGTACACAGGTATTTTTACAGAAGCCACAATCACTTAAGGAAAACTTGAGAATAATCCAATAGAGAAAGCATAAACAAAGAGTCAAAACGATTTGCGAATATTATATGGTAATGTGAAATTCTAAAACGAAGTTGGCGAAACAGCGACTTTTGGGTTTTGAGAGAAAAGTCTACAAAAATTTTGCAGTAGATGATAGCACACATGACATTTAAAAACACAGTGAATCACAATGCAGTAAGTCGGACTACAGAACTACTCGCCCGAATTACGAGTTCTGCACACAGAACGGTACGCATAGGGCTACATAATTTAGCAAGAAAACCCAGCTGCATTTTTTCTACTTTGCGCACGCACTACCACTAAAAGTACCAAATAGCTTGATCATTGACTGTTAAAATTGGCAAGAACAATCCCAGAAAAACCGATGTACCAAAATCTTTCCTTGGATTTATCAGAAAGAAGAGCAAACTACCGACTGAATTTGTGGTAATAACTGGGTCTAAACGAACAGTCAACAACATATACATGTAGGTATCACGGCTAAAACTGTCTCTCACCTTCTGTGTCGCAATCGATTGGGATTTAAATTTGAGCATACGGTGGTCTCCTGTCCGCTGGTGCAGAGACGCTGACGGGAAGCATTCGGATTGGCTGGTTTGGCGAGAATTGGGACAGGAACATTGTGACTTCGAGACGACGATGTAAAGACAGGACCAGCGGATAGTTTCTCAAGGGATTTGGATGATCTAAACAAAACCGTGTCTTGAAATAGCCAAACTGGCATTTACTCGTCTTTCGCAACAGATCTAGACCAATTAAGAGGCGTTCCGATCCTGACCTCCGGAAAGTATACGGATAGAGTGGACTAAGACCGTTTAAAATATGCATTTCATCTGCATTAAATGCATATTTTGTGCATAGAACATTTTTAATGGTCAAATTTCGGCGATTACACGATACCACCTCTCCGGGAGATTTGACTAAGAAACGCTATGCTGCAGAATGACATTGCACGAAGACCTCTTTACTTGCTTCGATTCTTAGCAAAAGACAAGGCACTGATGTGGTTACCTATACTTTTCAATTTGGTCATGTACAAATGGGAGACTTTCGACGCATGAACTTTGGATGCACATTACTCTAATGCACTAGTTTCGGCATGCAAAATAGCGAAACACTGTTCAAAGCTGACTCACTCCCGCTCAACCCAAATAATCTTGCTACTTCAACACTATCACATCTGCTTTTGCACCGAGCATATTCAGGTTCATTTACGAGGCTATCTTAAAAATAAAAAATGACGTCATTCAGCATAAACTCAAATAAAAAAAATATTCTCTAAAAAGGTAGAGACCAAGGCAAAACGAAACCGCTCAAGCGAAAACCGTGGATTCTAGCGAAGGAGGGGAAAGTTTCCGTAATGCAGCTGCCTCTGCGGCCACGTATGGCGTACGCACGGATGCGCACGCGCACAAGGTAGATGAGATTTTATTGGTCGCCATGTCGACTGATAGACCGATATCGATAGTACAGGAGTGCGTGCGTGCGCGTCCTGTAGTGAATGTGATTGGGTAACATGGACGGACAAGCAAGAATCAGATTCGGAAGTTACCACGTAATTGTCGGAAAGGCTGTAACTCAATCGAGTAAGACGCGACAATGAGTTTTTTTGTAGAAAATGAAGGTCTTTATTGAAGAAGACAAACATATCAGGATTGATAATGACATGGGAGGAGTTATTTAGGTTCTTATAGAAGTGACATGTGGTGATTGTCAAATTTCCAGTTGGCTATTTTAATCTCGCTTTGGAGAGAAACGTGGCAGTGAAACACTCCTTTGCGTTCGTGGTTGATGAAAGCGAATACTAGCAAACAATGAAGACGTTGATAGTTAACAACGGTTCGTTGTTAGATAATGAGTACCGGGAATTGTGACCCAGCATTGTTTCAAAGAGTTCGAAAGCTTTTTTACCATAAGCCTTCCATTATCAGAACCTGGAAGTATGGAGCAGAACGAATTGATCCTTCCAAGAGAGGAAATTTTGAGGCATTGTGAAGGTCAATACATTACCCGTTACGAGGAGTTGCAGTTTTGTTGTGTTCGCATAGTCATTTGATCGCTTTTATAGTGATGTCTTCGCTTTAGACTTAGAGATTAGTGTGTTTTAATAATTGGCTCTGTTTAAGGCAGAACTCATATTCAACCATTAGACTCATATGGAAACGAAACCCCTTAGAAAGATAATCAGATGGCTAAGCTGGTGAATGTCGAGGCAAAGGGACAACACGGGATCAGGTGCAGATAAATGCAATTCAAGGAGACCTACTGCGCACGAAGGCGTCTCTTACGTGAACGTGCTAAAGAACATCTTAAGACGGGGGAGGGGAGGGGTAGAGCCGTGTAAATCCTTAAGTGGCCGCAATCAAGAGAGGTCAGTTTTACCGTCACAATGTGTCCCTACAATTCCACTAAGGTTCGACTTCATTGGTTGTTAGGAGATAATATTGCATATTTTCCAGAACACGACAAAATTTTATCCAAAAAAGCGGTGCTACTAGTGACTAAATGCATCGGAAACACGATGCCGTCGGATTTTGATGGTTCCTCAAGTCAGGTTTCCCTTCATACTATTATTAAAATGTGCCAGCACAAGGAGACGAATTCTTGCATAATGCGCGAAATCGGATAGACACGACACACTTTGTCAGTCATCAAAATGCGAAAAATTGAGTTCACGCGAGGGCAATTTACACACGAACTCTGCTTCAACAATAATTTGCATGTTTGCAGACCTTGCATCAAAACAATTTACACTTTAACATACTTTCGCACACATTCCCAGTAATTCAACCGCCAATCCTTCATTGTTTAAAAGCTATCGACTGGTAACACACATCTTCACTCTGGGGGGAAACAATTCTGCATTAAAAACTGGAACTGCAACATTACCAGTTGATGCTAATTAATGTGTTCAAGGGCCTGATATCAGATTGGCAAAATAGAATTAGAACCCTGAAGACTTGAATTTTTGCCTTTCGTCTTTGGAAACACGTCAATCCACTTTGGGGATTGGGGATCATCAGAGGAAAGACTAAGAAAACTACTCAGACCCTCTAGGCTGAGGCCAGTGATCGGAAGAGTCCGTGTCATTAACTAGCATCAAACCTGTTAGCCCTTTAGCACAATTTACCAAACAGACACTAACGAGCAAACGGACCTAATCCACCCAGACGGCGGCAGCTGGGTCATTCAAGTGGCAGCAAAAAGCTTTTACTCAAATGTTGGGGCCCACTTTGTGCGAAAATGAGCCAAGGTGGATAGGAAGGCTAGACGTTAACGAAGTTTTTTTAAATGGTCAAGTGTAGTGACTCGGTAGGAAGGGAGAAAGGTTACCAAACAATACATTATTGTAGGTTTCAGGCGTCAGTTGGGCAAAATAAACTACATTTGACCAATCACAACGCCCCAACTTGCATGATGAGGACCACACAAACTGAAAGGAAAACCTCAATACAAAACACTACAAGAAATGCCATTATTGAAGTAACTAACAATCGAATTCTTGTTTGTGATGCAGGATTGACAGTAGGATTCGATGATCGCTCATGAACTCTGCCTATGGCCTCGGCACATGAGAGTGAAATCAATAGCAACCGTAATCCAAGTGATACAATAAACTAAACAATTGAGGGGGTGCCTAACTGCATCACCGGAAGTAAAGACAGCCATAATTTCAATGCTATTTATGCCTTGAGTTCGATTGACAAAACGAACACGGTAGCCGTTTAATTGCGGTGTGAACAATGCGTGGGAAAGAAAACCGTCTGCGTGCCCTTTGCCTCATGTCTGGGCTAGATGAACAACCAGAGGTAATTTCATGGATCAATAATAGGGATTGACGCACAACAAGGTGAAGCTCTTCGGTGTGCCCCAATCCGGTATTCCTCGAGGTTAGCTTGATAGCTTATGGTAAACGTGTCAGGATCACATATTGTAGTCTTATGAATGATCACTGTAATGCAGGATTGAGTTAATATGCGATTCGCACATTGAACCGAACATTTGTAAGGTTTCCTTAGGTTTACGAGATGATTTGGGGTGAGCAAATTAACTTTAATTTCCATTCATATTAATAAAAAAAACTAGAGAGAATCTAAGACAACTGAGATGAATTTCCTTAGATTGCACGGTTGTAGCCAGGAATGAAGAAATGAATACATGCTCGAGTAATGCGTGAGGTCCTGTGTCTCACGAAAGAGCCAACATAAGGTTTCCTGCTCCATGAAGAGACTGGAAATGCCAAACTCGACGCCATGAATAGCGCACAAGCAATTTATGATGGCCATACATTTCAATGATAGTCTCGATCAAAAACAAACAGCACACTTCGAAATACGCAAAGCAAGGTGTCGTGAAGTAAAAGTTGTCAGAATAAGGGTGCTTCTCCAATTGAGATAGTGAGTTGCACAGCACTAGATACCCATTACATCGACTAAAAACACGTTGTATTCAAAGGAAGGGCAATCCGAAGCGCACTGATGTGTGGGCTTGCAAAAATATTGTGCTATTTTGCATGCTACATACTGTTATAGGTTGGCGCAAAAACTTTTCAACATGAGAATCTATTCGACATCTAAAAACTGGCATGAAACTGTTCTAAGTTACTGAATTCTCCGAGGAAGGAAGACGTAGAGCAACAAGGCTTAGGAATATCTTCTATGTGTGAAGGCACACGGGCCGCTCGCGACAATGCGATAGCACAAATAGGTGGCAAACGAACCGATGGACCGATATCGATAAAGCATGAATGCACACGTGCGAGCTAGAATACGAGTCTTATTGGCCCCACAAAGTTACGCACGAATACAGGCTGCTACCTACTTTCTCCATACGATTAGTCGCACTGAGAAGAAATCCCTACCTGTAAATTAACGAACGCGCAGTTGTTGGAGGGCTGGTTTGAACCCCACAAAGGGTTTCCCGACTGACATGATAAAAATTAGGAGAACTAGACAAGGAATCACAAAGACGAAAAAAGGCCCCAATTTAATTTCCTAAAAACTATCATTGTGTACAAACCTGGGGGAACAAGATATGAGTATAGACCGATAACTTCGAGTAGTGATGGGTAAATTAACAATGAAATTAATATTTAAATTGGCTCTACGTAGCTAGAGTTATCATTTTCGCAAACAACCTAAAAAAACAGAAACGGCTATCAAACAATCATTGAGTGAAATGTTATAAAAGCCAACATAATCAAACTCACACATTGTTAAGTTGCAAGGTAATTAGTTGCCCCGTGGGAACCAGGCCCACAGGCAAGGGAGCCGATGCGTTAATCACAATATCTTTCGTCATCGAGACACCAGACGCATCACAACAGACGGTAGAAGCTTGGTGCTGAACACATTTCACTGGACTTACTGATTCCTCACTCGCCAATTTCGAATTGGTTGAAGTCTCTGATTTCATGGCAGCAGGGATAAGGTCCTACATTTAAACAGACAGCAGTTATTTGAGGTCTGATTAGGCGCTGCCTGAAAAGACAAAAGCTATTACATTTATTAAAATCCCAGTCGGGTTAAAGAAAAAAATAAATAATGCATAAAGGCATAACTACTGATTACCTTTAGTTTAAAAGCAAAGTAAAAGAGAATGAAAAAAATCGATTAGCGTAGTTTTCACATGTATGAAAATTAATCGATATCTACCTATACATTTGGTACTATACACATACATGCGTATATATACGTGAAAAACTTGCAAACTACGTTTGATCAATTATGAATCACTGATAAATGGTAGAGAGAATAAATAACAATCTAGTACATAACCATCAACATTTAAGCAAAGATTGTGGTGTTAAAATTGGAATTTAGTTTGCAGTTTAACTAATATATAATCACTTTTAAAGATTGTGGTATTCAGTTTAGACTTCTGTGATTGCAAATATAATATGAATTTTTTGATTCTCTACATTAGTCAGTCGTGAATTAGCTCAAAGGTTTTTACTTATTTTATTTGAATATGTGAGAATGAACCTGCATCTCTGAGTGATGAACCAATATCTTATGGCAGAATATTTCTAGGAAACAAAAGTTTGATTCAACGTGTAACAGACATGAAACTTGGCTTCATTCATTTTGTCCGAAACTACCCAAAACTATATTTAAAGATCAGTTTCTCATGGATCCAAAATAATATATTACGTAGCATTATGTCAAAACCAACTTCATTAATCTCGTGTTACTAATAATTTAAAATAGTATTTCAGATTTTATTTTTTAGCAATAAACTGTCCCCGACGAATTATTCTCGGTGCCATAAAGGGAACATAAGGGAGAGGAAGACATTATTTGATTGAGCAATGCACTGAGTAAAGTAACCTTTACAAGGCCGTACTCATAGCTTTATTCAAAACATATTCGTATAGGAATATTAGACTTTAGACGTGGTTAAAAAACTAGCATAACATCATTAGCACGTTTCTTTTAAAGGTTATATGCAGTAATAGTTTCTCACCAACATTCATAAAGAGAAAAAACTACAATTCACGGGAAGCACTGATAAATCATGGAGTATCGATTTCAAAACCTTACGCACCGCAGCCGTCCGCGAAATGTTTGGAGGTTTGGTCCTTGAGAAAACCGTCTTGATTGCGTTGCATTCTGCATTAAAACATTAAGATAAAAGTAAACACTACTTAGAGAATTATAACCGATTAGACACGTCTGAATTTCCGCGTACAGATTTCCATTTATGGCAACCCAGTGCATTTGAAAAGTGATTAGCTTAATTACACTTCAAAATTTTAAGGTATGGCTAGACCTAGGTGTTCTAAAAACTTAATTAGTTTGTTTTACAGGCCGCCGTAACAATTACCAACGAAGCAATGTACTGTGCACTAAACATATGGCTAGACCTAGGTGTTCTAAAAAC